TAATAACAATATAAAATATAATATAATATAATATAATATATAATAGAAACACAAGGAGCAACAAGCAATCTAAATGAATATTCGTTATTAACGTGTGTCTCTGTGTGTATGTGTGTGTTAGGTGTACACGTTTTAGTCGTTCGTTCTCCAGTTGAATTTATCTTAGCTTTCTATAAGCCATGACTACTAGTTTGAGCTGTGGTCCTTCGCTCACTCTTTCTTTATCTCTCTCTCTCTCTCTTTCCCTCCCTCCCTTTCTCTCTATGCAGTTAATATCAATTTAAATTGGACAAGAACGTAGCATCGTTAAATCGTATTTATGTGTTGTACTGACTCAGACGAGAAATTCGAAATAGAGGGAGAAACATAGAAAGAGAAAGAGAGAGAGAGAGTTAACAAAATCAAATGTAAATTCTATTTTCTCTATATTCCCATCTCTACGTTTTATCTATCTATTAGTGCATTTTTTATTTTTTAAATATATCATTTACCCCATACATTTTATAGTATTATTAAATCATTACGTTTAAATAATCCATTCTAATTTGACTCGAATAATATTTAAATTAATATTGTAAAATATTGTCGTGGTCTAATTTAACGATTTTAAAAATGAAGAGAAAATGTGTGAGTAAAACGATTTGTAAATATCGTCTACGAACTTTTCGTGTTGTTTTTATTTTTTTTAGTATATATATTGTTTATATTTATTTTTATTTAAAATATATTATAATTATAAATGTTATATTTTATTAAAATTATTATATATTTATCGTATAAATAATTTTTTTTGTAACATTTAGTCATATCAAGTAGTATAAATCGAAATGTGGTCAGACCGAGGATGGCAGAAATATAATGCGTAACTACTGATTGTTGCCGGTGGCTGACCACGCACGGACGTGACTACTTGCTGTATATTTCACCGATCCCTTCTACCTTCCTCCTCTCCCTATTCGTGCACTTTACAGATAAACTTTTCCATCATAAATATTGACTACCCCTATATTTTTTTTTTCTATCTTTGGCTTTATTACTTTTCTATTTTGAAAAAAAAAAAAAAAAAAAAAAAATTAAAAAAAGTAGTAGTAACGCAATATAGAAAAAATTTCGTTAAATCCCAACTAGTTTTATCACTAATGAAAAATAAATATACGTCAACCTAATCTATGATTTATATTCAGTGATTTATCAATGATTTTTCATTGTAAAAAATAATCGATAAAAAAATGTGTATGTGTCTACGAAAAAATTAGTCAATGATTCGTCGAGTCGTTTAACAATGATTTTTTACAAAATCAAATCATTGATTAACATTATCGTAGATACATATAAATTTGATGAATTTTTTACAATGAGTAGATATATACAAATTTGATTAATCTCTTACGATGAAAAATCATTGACTAACTGTATCGTAGTTACATACAAATTTGATTAATGATTTTTTTTTTTTTACGAGAAATAATAATTGATCGCGCCGCTGGATCTCGTTAATATTAGTAAAAAAATAAATTAAAAAGACAAAGTAAAGTAACACTTACCCAAATTAATAACAAAAGGAATATAAATACATTTGACGAACATTAATGTATCTTTCTAATAATACGTTATCATACTGTATACGTTATACGGTTCTCTTACGGCTAATAAGGATATTACTGTTCGCTATGGCATGTCATTACAGTTAATCACGAATTTCAATTAAAACGGACATCGCGCATTAGCGTGCTAACGATATATATATGTATGTGTGTGCGCGTGTGCGATAGCAACATAATCAGGATATTTAAACGTGCTTTTAACGAGAAACATCGACCGTGTCGAAATTA